GTTTGTTCTTCTTTTTCTGCTCAATTGAGGTGTAAAGGTAGGATGTTTATTTGGGATATTTCTTCCTTTTTTAAGTGTATGTGTTTATCTCTGTAAACTTGCCTCTTATTACTGCTTTCACTGCATCCCATACATTTTGATACGTTGTGGTTTCATTTTGTTTGATTCTCTTTTAAAGTTCCTTTTTGATTTCCACTTTGACCCAATGGTTGTTCAAAAATATGTTGTTTAGTTTCCACATATTTGTAAATTTTTCTCATTTTCCTGCTGTTATTGATTTCTACTTTCATCCATTGTGGTTAGGAAAGACACTTGGAATGATTTGATTTTCTTAAATTTGTTGATACTTGTTCTGTGAACTAACGTGTGATTTATCCTGGAGAATGTTCTGTGTGTGTTAGAGAAAAATGTCTATTCTTCTGCTGTTGGGTGGAAAATTCTCTGTGTGTCAGTTTGATCCATTTGGTCCACACTGTTGTTCAAGTCAGCTGTTTCTTCACTGATTTTTCTGTCTGGATATTCTATCTGTTATTGCAATTGTGGTATGGAAGTCCCCTATGATTATTGTATTGCTGTCTATTTCTGGCTTCAGATTTGTCAAGATTTGCTTTATACGTTTAGGTGCTCTGATGTTAGGTGCATATATATTTATAATTGTTATATCTTCCTGTTGAATTGACTTTTATCATTATATGATGACCTTCTTTGTCTCTAGAGACAGTTTTAGAATTAAAGTCTATTTCATCTGACATAAGTGTAGCCACCTCAACTTTCTTTTGGTTACCATTTACACGAAATATCTGTTCCATCCCTTCACTTTCAGCTTACAGATGTCTTTAATTCTCAAGTGAGTCTCTTGTAGCCAGCATATCACTGGATATGGTTTTTATCCATGCAGCCACTATGTATCTTTTGACTGGTGAGTTTAATGTATTTATAGTTAAGGTACTTATTGACCAGTGAAGACTTACTATTGTTATTTTGTTCATTGTTTTCTGTCTGTCTTGTAGTCGTTCTGTCCACCTCTTCCTTTCTTATTGTCTTCCTTATATGGTGATTTTTTTATAGTGATTTGCTTTGGGTTTTTTCTCTTGATCTTTTGTGTATCCATTATGGATTTTTTTCCATGTGGTTAGCTCAAGGCTTGCGTAACATATCTTGTAGTTATAACCTTCTATGTTAAGTTGATAATTTAACTTCAATCACATACAAAAGACTGCCCTTTTGCTCCCCCAACACACATATACACTTTGTGTTCTTATAGAGAGAGTTTTCTTTTTTTATGTTCTATATCCATTACTATACCCAATTCTATATCCAAATTTTTATGTACTGATCTTTATATTAGGGTAAAGTGATGAATATACCACCTTTACGGTGCTATGTTAATCTATGTATGTCTACAAGTTTACCTTTACTTGTGAGACTTAAGCTTTTCTATGCTTAAACATTGCTGTTTAGTGCAATTTCGTTTCAATCTGAAGAACCACTTAGACATTTCTTGTAAGGCCAGTCCAGTGGTGATAAACTTCCTCAGTTTTTGTCTGTCTTGGAAAGATTTTTATCTCACTTTCATTTTCAAAGAATAATTTTTCTGGGTATTGTATTCTTGGACAGCAGGCATGTTTTTCCTAGTAATCTGAAGATATCATTCTACTCCTTCCTGATCTGCAAGGTTTCTGCTTAGAAATCTGCTGATACGAGGATTGCCTCATATGTGTTGAGTCATTTTTCACTCATTGCTTTCAAAATTCTCTGTTTATTCTTCGCTTTTGACAATTTGATTATAATGTACGTTGGTATGGTCTTCTTTGGGTCGATCCTATTTGGGAAATTTTGAGCTTCATAAATCTGAATGTCCACTTTCCTCCCAAGATTTGGGAAGTTTTCAGTCATTATTTCTTTAAATAAGTTTTCTACCCCTTTTTCTCTACCTTCTCCTGCTTGGACTCACAACACATATATTAGTTCCTTTATTGTGTCCTATAATTCCTGTAAACTTTCTCCACTCTTTTTCATTCTTTTTTTTTTCACTCTTCTGACTGGATAATTTCAAATGACCTGTCTTCGAGTTTGCAGGTTCCTTCTTCTTCTTGATTGAGTCTGTCATTGAAGCTCTCTAGTGCACTTTTCATTTCAGTCATTGCATTCTTCAGCTCCAGAATTCCTGCTTCATTCATTTTTATGATTTCTATCTCTTTGTTGTACTTCTCATTTTGTTTGTGTACTGTTTTCCTGATTTCATTGAGTTATCCATGTTTTTTTGTGGCTCACAGAGCTCCCAATTCCTTGCCAAGAAATTCATAGATCTCTATTTCTTTCGGGTCAGTTACCAGAAAATTATTGTGCTCCTTTGGTGATGTCATGTTTTCTTGATTTTTTATGCTTCTTTTAGCCTTGGGTTGATGTCTGTGCATTTGAGGGAAGAGTCACCTCTTCCAGACTTTCCAGACTGGCTTTGGTGGGGAAAGACCTTCACCTACAGGTGGCAGTGAGCATGCCAGCTGAGTGAAGTGTGCTGGATTCAGCTCTGGGAGATGGGGCCACACAGTGGCAATTCTGGCTTCATGGAGGGTACAGTGGCATAGCCTCTATGGAGCTCTGCCAGCTGAGGTCAGCATCTGCCAAGGCTGCAGGTGTCATGGTAGCAGCGAGCGCTGTTTGGGTCCTCAATGGTGAAGGCTGGTGGGATCCTCCTGTTCTCCTTTTACCCACAGGGAGAAGTTGTGGCCAAGAGGATCACGCTTTCTGCTGAGCCTGGCATGTGGGTGCACACACAGTGGCAGCAGTGCCTGACTCCAAGGCATGAGAGTATGCAGAGCAGCTGTGGAGCAGGGTTCCAGGGTGTGTGCACACTTGGGGGAGGTGAGTGGTGGCAGGGCACAGTGGTGGTTCTTTTTCTGGGATGGTGCAGCCACAGCCCATTCCCTGTCTGGGGTGAGGAGCGGGTTGCAGCAGCACAGACTCCAGGCAGCTCTGTCAGCTGGGTTCGTCATTGGGAAGACCTTGGGGTCCTTGGTAGTGAAAGCTGCAGGTGTCCATGGAGGTGATGAGGGCTGCCAGAGTCCCCTGCTCCCCTTTTCCCTCACGGGGGGTCATGACAAGGGGACCCCTCTTGGTATTGAGATGTACCCAACTGGAGGATGGGAGGATGCAGCTAACAGGCTTGCTATGCTTTTCTGTGCAACTATCCTCGGGTTTTGTGCTCATCTGGGTTTCTGCATCTCCCTTACTGTGCTCTGGACCTCTCCCAGAGCTATTTTCCTCAGTACATAGCTGTTTATTCATTGTTTTGTTGTTTTTGTGGGGGGACGAGCATTGGGACCTCCTCTTCTGCCATCTTGCTGATGCCACCTCACTAATTTCTTTTAAGTGGGTCCTTTTTTAATGAGTAAACTGTCTCCGTGCATGTGTTTAATTAACAGCGACTACGTAGTGTTGCAACTCGTGTATTTGGGGGGTAGACTCCCGTTGGTGTGAGGAACCGTAGTGCCTGCCCTTTATTATTTGGGCCAGGAAAGACACAGGCAGCTGATGAAACTGCCAGAAGAGGAGTCTCAGTACTCAAGGTTTGCTATGTGCGTCTACTGGGTTTAAGGAGCAGAGCGTAAGAGTTCGTCTTCTTAGAGGCAAGCGCCCGTGAGCTGTAGCCAGAAGGGTTCCAGGCTCTCAGGCAGTTGGTAAATTTCTAGAAGTGGCATCAACCCCAGCTGGCCCTTTGAAGTGTGTGCCTGGGAATCAGGGAAGGCCCAGTGCAGGAGGCAGGGCCACCGGCCCCCAGAGTCAGCGGTAGGATGTCTGTCCCTGGTGGAAGAGGCCATGCGACCGAGCGTCAGAGAGAACCTGGGAGGAAGGGGCTTCCTGCCCTGCTGTGCTGGCCGTGAGGGGCGGGGGGCATTAGAGGATGGGAGGGCAGAGGAGAGGCCTCTGAGCAGAGAACAAGCAAGTCAGGACCAACAGAAAGAGGTGTCGAGGGGCTTTCAAGCTTTGCCCTCAGGAAGTTCAACCAAAGGTTTCAACAAATGTTAAAGCCAGATTCATCCACTGTCACAATGCCTGTTTGTTTGAGATAAAAAGTCATATTTCTTTAGGACCCAGTGGTCAGGCTACGTCTGTGAACCTCAGCCCGGAGCCTGTTGCCTGCCCGGCACCGAAGCCAGCCTGCACTTCATCTCCTCAAGGTCCCAGCAGCTCCGTGCTCACTCGCAGCCATCTCCTGCTGGCGGTTGATGGCGTGGGCAGATCGGCTTCCTGGCTACTGTGTGGCCTGTCTCCCAGGGGCTGAGACGTCAGCGCTGCCTTCAGGCAGCACCACTGGGCTCCCACTGGACTCCTCTGGCTGGCTGAGGGTGGGGTGGCAGAAACACGGGGGGAGTAGCAGTGCGGACAGCCCTGATCACCAGCGTCCTTCGCTGCCATGCGGCCAGCGTGCGGCTTTGAAGTGGTTTCTCGCGGTCAGCTCTGCAGGGCAGCCCCGCAAGCCTGTCATTAGGCACGTCCGCTCCTGTCAGCACCCATTCATTACAGCCAAATAAGCAGGCACGCTCGCCAGCCCCCAGACAACCTTCCTGGGGCCTCCGGGGGAAGGGAGGGCCTCCTTCACCAGCACCCTTGGGGTCATGGGCCCTGGGGCTTGGGGTGCTTGGGGCCTGACTCCCCTGGGCTTACAAGGGTCTGCTGTGGGTTGGGAATTGTCCTTGTGACACTCCATGTCAGCTGGGCCCATGTGTGTACTCCCGGGGGCCTACCTGCCCACCACCGCCTGGCTCAAGTGCCAGCATCTTTTCTGAAATAATCCGATTACTCACATTTAATTCTTTGAACAAACAGCACATCTTTATGCACACTTTGTGTATCGGTCTACACTGCAAAGTTCTACAGGCACAACAGGGGACCAGTTCAGCAAGGCCCTCCTTCCTCTCCTGCCCCCTCCCCCTGGATGAGAGTATGGCCATCATGGGCATGTGCCCCAGGCAGCGACAAGCAAACAGGCACTCATGTGATCTTACCTCCTTTATTCAGGGATGGTGGCAGTGACAAGTGCCCTCCTGCGTTTTTGTTTTTTCAGCGAATAGTGAATGCCAGAGTCCCTTCTCCTTTGCAAAGCGATTCTTAACAATCACAGATACTTAGGTTGAATCCGGGAGTTTGCTGCTGAAAATGACACTGCGACACAGCGATATGCCACGGTGCGCATGGGCACGTGGATCTGCAGGGCGAGGCCGGAGGGGCGATGCGGGCGCATGGCGCTTGCATCTGTACTTGCAGGAGGATGTGGCGGTGGTGCTCGGGCATGACCATGTGGCACACGGCTCTGGCTCCCCCTGGCCCGGAGGAGCTCCTTCACTCAGTGGTTTGTGGCTTCACTAAGAACAGTACGCCCACAGTCAGGGTGCTGTCAGGAAATCCAGCTGGTGTTCCACAGAGGGGACTTCAGCACCAGGAATTGGCTCCCTGGGTGCTGGGGGAGCAGAGGGAGAATGGGGGCTTGGAGGAGGGAAAGGCAGGTGGCACTCCCGGTGGCAGGAGCTGCCCTCGGCCCCGCTGAGCCTGCGCTGCTCCAGCTGTTGGAGCTGAGATGCCGTTGGTCCTGGGTGTACTGATGAGGGGCCACCTTGAGCAGGACAGGGACGTCTGCCCTGATCCTGGTGGCCACTGATGCCAACTTGAAGCGGGGAGAGTGGATCCTTCCCCTACATTCTTCTGGCTCTCCCAGAGCAGAGCCACCGATGGGCACTGGCGCTCATGGCATGAGCTTGCAGCCCCTTGGCCCTTAGGAAACATGGTGCATAGCGGGAATGGGGAGGAGAGCAGAGGCAGGCGACACACAGCACAGCATGGAGTAGAAACCACGTCCATCTTGCTACATTGTCAACACTGGCATGCGTGTGGATGGGCCTGTTGGCTCTGACCCAGCACATTCGAGGCCCTGAGGCCTCCTGGGTCTGCACTGGCGTGAACACCCTGTGTCCACACTCTGCCGTTCTCTGTGCCCACACCATTCTCAGCTTAGACATCTGTGCTGGGTCGGCCACTTCTTGTTCTGAGGCCCTTGTTCAGCATCATGGAATCAGCCCAACCTGGTGGCAAAAGCAGCTCCATCTTTGACTCTTTGCTAGAACTGGGCATATGCATCTCTTATCTAAGATTCACTTCTGAGAACGACGGGACCATCAAATGCTGTAGCTGGAGGTCCCCGTCAGGTGGCTCTCCACAGTCACTAGGGTGACAAACGCAGCAGGGGCCACGGAAGGAGGGATTGAGACTGAGGGCTGTTTGTGTCGTGTCATCTCGGGCTCCTTTCCAGGAGGAAAGTGGAGCAGGCAGCCCACTGTCTCCGTGACATGAGACATGCAGGGCCAGCCCTGAGAACCTCAGGGTCCCTGGGGAGAGAGGACCGGAAATGCCTTTCCTCCTCCACATGGCAGAACCGGAGAACGTGTGGGCAAGCGCTGCAGACGTGGGTTTCATCCTGGTATTCGGTTGCTGGGGCTGCCGTAACAAAGGACCACAAACTGTGGCTGAAACAGCAGAAGTGGACTGTCTTGGTCTGGAGGCCAGAAGCCCGAGATCGGGGGTGGGCAGGGCTGGTCCCTTCTAGGGCCTGGGAGGGAGGATCTGTCCCACGTTTCTCCCGGCTTCACATGCTTTGCAGGCAATCTTTGGCGTTCGTTGGCTTGTAGAAGCACTCCCCAGTCTCTGCCTCCATCTCCACATGGCCTTCTCCCTGTGTGTGTGTCTTTGCCCAAATGTCCCCTTTCTATAAGGACACAGTCCTATTGGATTAGGGGCCCACCCTTCTTCATAGGACCTATCTTAACGATTACATCGGCAAGGACTCTATTTCCAAAAAAAGGTCACGTTCTGAGATATTGGGCATTAGGGCATCAACATATGAATATGGGGGACATAAATCAACTCATAACAATCCCCTTAAGGTGCAAAGAACTTCTCCAAGTTGAAAACGAAAGTCTCAGTGACACAATTTGAAGGACAAGCCAAGGCTAGAACTAGGGAATTCCCAAGAAAGTAAATGTCAGCGACCATGGAACACAGGAGCAGAGTTCAACTTTACCAGGAGCCAGAGGGACACAGGTCACAACACTGCGTCCTCCCTGTCCAGTTGGTGACGCTTCACGTAACCGAGGATGCTCAGCACTGGCCGTGGTGGCAGCATAAACGCACACAGACTCTGGAGGACATTGTCAACACGAACACCCCACCTGAAAATGTCCCTTCCATCTAGGGCTTCTATTTCTGATCGTCCACCTGAGGAAAGATCCCAAAACATGGGAAAATACGGATGCACAAAAGTATTCATCTTGGGGTGATTAAAAAATAAATGGAAGCAAACCAAATACAGTGAGAGAGAGAGAGAGAGAGGTTCGGGTATATCCATAGGAGAGGATATTATACACTCATTCAGAATTACATTTAAAAAGAACATTAATGACGCTGGAAAATACCCATGTCACAATTTAAGTGACAAAAGTGAGCCACATACACACATACACTGTATTAAAATTGTATCTGGGGTTTAACTTATAAGAGTGTGAGTGATGACCTGGAGAGGCCAAGGCCATTGAAAGGAGATCTTTGTCACTTACATTTCCCGAGAGGAGGGGACACGCCACACTGTGCAGGGCCACAAGGGGAGCACCAGGTTTGGGTCAGGGGGCAGAAGCAGGAGCGAGCGAGGGGAAGCCCAAGGTGGGAGCCTTATTGGAGTTTCTGCAGGAAAGGCAGGGCAGCTTTTTAATTCCAGCCGGCTCGGAGCTGAGGTCATCTCTGGTTGCTGATTCAGGGTGGGGGCAACACCGGCACGGTGTGAGAGTCAGATGGAAGGCGACGGGGCCATGGACGCTAGATGGTCAGTTGGCACACAAGGGACGTGTCCAGCAAGGCATGCTGTCTCCCAGAGGCGGCTGCCCCGGGAGGGGCGGAGGGTCCCCAGTCAGGAAGGTCACAGCACTAGAGCATCAAGAATACAGAAAATAAGAAAACATGGTTAAAGCCGTTGGCCCTGTGATGAAAGGATGTGAACAGACAAATCCAAACTCTGGGAAAACACAGAACACTCACACACGAGATATTTAACTCTGTGTTTAAAATGCATAGAAACAGGCAGGGCTGGAAAGAAACATTCCAAAAATGTTGAAAATGTTCTTTCTGGGTGTTGCGTTGATGGTGCTTTGTTTCCTTCTGTTTCTTATAATAGTCTTAATTTTTGAATTCTCCTTGAATGAATGTGTGTTATTTTTACAGTCTGGATTAAAGGGTTTAAACTGTGTTTGTGGCTCCCAGCACCATCGGCCTCTGTGGGCCCTGACCTTCCCCACCGCCCCCCAGGCCCCCACCCTTCACCTGCCGCGGCCCTGGCCAATCCTGCCGTCGCTCAAGCAACTGAGATTCACCTGCTGGAGTCTCGCAGCCCCCAGGAGGGCAGCGTCTAAGGAGCGTGAGGTGGAGACGCTAGCGTCCAGCTGGACGTGAGGAGCACATGCCCGGATCACGGTGGGGATGAATCATCAGCTGTTCAGAGCAAGCACAAAGGACGGCAGCCTCAATGCTCACCAGGGACCAGGTATCCTCAGGGGCCCTCTCCAACTGCCCACAGTGCCTGCGGCAGGAGGATGGAGCCAGGACTCGAAGCAGCACCCTCAGCCATGGGGTGGGGCAGGGTGGAGGGCAGTCAGGAAACGGGGGTCTCAGAGTCCAAGCTCCTTCATCAAAACGCCACACTAAGGTGGTCACCTCCAGTGACTTTCCCAGGGTCCACTCCTGGCCTGGGGGGCCAACTGTCCTGGTCTGCCTGGGCCTTTCTTGATTTCAGCATGAAAAGCCTGTGTCCCCTCTGTCCTGGACAAATAGGAATGGGTGGTCACCTATCCCCAGTGGCCCAGTCCTCCCCCAGGGCCCCCGAGCCACCAAGGCCCCACACACATCCATGCCCTGCCTCACCCCTGAGCCAGGCCTGAGTGGGTGTCCATCCCATGGCCCCAAAGGTCTTGGATAACCCTGGTTCAAGGGGATCCGTAGCCTGCCACCTCTGGGGTTGGCAGGAATGCTGGGGGATGTCAGAGGGCTCACCTGCATGGCCACCTGTAATGGAGGGGAGGGCCTGTCACTGTTGGCTCTGTCAGGAAGAGGGATCGGAATGGTGAATGTGTGGCAGGAAGTGTGTAGGGACAGCCAGTGAGAGAGAGAGAAAGAGAGAGGGGAGAAGGGTGGGGAGGAGGGGGGCGGGTGGAGGAGAAGAGAGGAGGGACCCGGTTAAGAGTGGGAAGAGAGGAAGGGGAGGGGAATGGAAGAGGGACGGGGAAGGGAGGATGGGGAGGGGAAGGGAGGGGAAGGGAGGAGGGGGAGGGAGGAGAGGCAGTTTCATATGTAATACAAACTACAAGGCTGGGCAATGCTACTTTAGAATGGAAGGAACCAAGAATCTAACAGCCGCCCTTCGCTCTGTGGCGTTTTGGGGGCAGCTCAGAGCAGGCTGGGGGCCTCATGCACAGGCAGGCTCAGCCACTCATCAGGCTGATGGCTTCCTGCCCAGCCAGTGCCCTTCCGAATATTGCGAATATTGCGCAAATCAAGCAGGAATGTGGGAAGAAGGAACCCTGACCTTCCGAATATTGCAAATATTGCACAAATCAAGCAGGAATGCGGGAAGAAGGAACCTGGTAGGGTGGGACTTCTCCATTAGTATCGACAGTTCCCAGAAACTGCTCCAGTTCCCCTCCTTGGCACCAGCCGCCCAGCACCTGTCCTTTGGGACTTGTCCTTTGTGTGTGCACAGCGCCCTGAGTGTGCCAGCAGGGGCTATGCAGCTCACATTCCACAGCGATCGATTTCCGGCCTCCCCCAGGGCATAGAATGAGGCCTCCCCGGAAGCGGAAGGAGGGAGTTTGCATCTCAGCAGCGCCAGGTAGCATCTGGGGCTTGCCCTCCCAGCCTCGGTTTCCCCAGACAGCATGAGGGAGGCCGCCCTCTTACCCCTTCTTCACTGGCACACATCTGCTTTCATCAAGGCCAGCGTCCCATCAACGTGACAAGCACGGCCAGCTCCCCACTCAGCCAGCCCTTCCCCACCGGAGCCCCAAACCAAACCCTGAGGCCGAGGGCTCCGTGCAGGCGCGGGAGGCCCAGCTTCCTGGGCCATCGACGAGGCTGCAGTGTCCACGCTGGGTGACCCCCCTCACTCTGAAGGTGCCTCTCCGTGGCGGCTCCCCCCTGCCTCCCGGCTCCCTCCAGGGGCAGAACCCCGCTGCCTCAGAGAAGGGGTGCCTTGATCTAAGAGACTGACCTTTCGCTCACATCTCTGCCAACTGCCACTTGCCAAGACATGTTTCAGCCCCTTGTCAGATCAATCGACGGCTCCCGCAGGTGCATGGCTGTGAGCCGGTTAGGTCTGAAGCCGCCGTCGGCGCGGGAAACGCTGATGGTTGAACCGGTTTCCTGTCCTGGAACATTTGGGGGTTTTTATCACACATCACAGTTTCTGACAGCCTCCTGGGCCTTTGGAATTTTCCGGTGCGGTTGCCAGCTCCTGGGACTCGTCTTGGGACGGCCACAGGTTGCTGTGCGAGGCTGCGGCAGCCCCCAGAAGGGTCAGGGAAGATCAGGGCCTCGAGTCGCAGGCGCATACAGAGGAGGACTTCTGCGTGGGTGGAATCGCGCCTGCAAGGCAGGACCGCGAGAGGGAGGCAAGGCCGCCCGGGGCCAGCATGTGTGCCTGGGCCTGCCAGGCTGGCTCTAAGGAGGGTGCTGGCTTAACCCGTGTGCCCTCTGCTCCCCGGGTGTGAGGCGCCATCCGTCCGCAGAGTCCCCGGGCCCTGACAGCTTTGCTCACGTCCCTTGTGTGGTCCCTGACCCTCTGGGCACTGGCGATACGGCCGGGAGCTCCATGGAGCTGCTTTACAGAGACCTCTGGGCCCAGCGTCCTCCACGTGGTTCTGCTTCAGGTGATGTCAAGGGGGAAGCTCCAGGTAGGGAGCTCCAGGACTTGCGGGGTTGCAGAAAACAAAACCCCAACTCGCAATAACCTAAAGCAAAAAAGAGAGTTTATTGGGATTCCGCCAGCAGCCCGAGAGTCTCGCCTCCTCTCTGCTCTCTCCTCATTCCTCTGTGTGGCGGGCTTCTTTCCTCCCATACATGGGACTCCTTCAGGGGCCTGGGGACGGGGTCCTGGCCTCAGCACCCCAAGGCCTGACTGGTGGCCCAGCTTAGAGACCCCAGAGGAAGGAGACCCCCTGCCCCCCATGTCCAAGGAGAGCCCCAACTGGGCTCCCGGGTTCCCACGCTGGGCTGGTCGCATTAGAAGGGAGCCCAGACGGTTGGGACAGTGCTAGGACAGGCTCAGGGCGGGGCTGCTTCCAGAAGGATGGAGGCGGCAGAAACGAGAAGGGAGCCCTGGAGGGCCCCCAGGTGGAGGAGGGCTTTTGGGGGTGGGGAGAGAAGGGCAGGCCCGGCACACTCACGGGCATGTGATCAGACTCCGTGCTTGCTTATTGACATGTCCCAGTCGTCCACACGGCCGCCACTTGGCGGTTCCTGTGGGGCCACAGGGTTGACACGGGTTTGACCGCATGTCCACATGCCCTGCTTCCCGTGGTCTGTTGCCCTGTCTTTTGCTTCTGCATCCAGAAGAGAAACAGGCACCCACCATCACCCACCCAGGCTCAGGGAATCTCCTGCCAAAGGCACAGGTGTGCAGAGAGACGTCGTCAGAACGAAGCAGACAGAGCTCGTCCTCGCTGGGCCCCCGCCAGGCAGCAGACCCTGTCACGGACGTTGTCTCAGAAACAGGGAACCTGGGCTCCGAGGGGAGACACAATGGGCCCGAATGTGATCGCGGGGGTCCGGGCTACAGGGCACCTTCCCCCAGCCCCCTGCCCCAAGATGGGAACCGTCCCACGTATGTGGGGTTCCTGCGCGTTCAGTCCCAAACCCTGATGCTCCCAACCCGAGAGCGCCTGGCAGGGCTCCCTCAGCCGGGTCCCAGGGAGAGCACGTCCTGCGGAGCCCCCGGGAGATGGTGGGGGCAGGCTCTGCGAGACTGGGCGCCTCAGGGCACACACCCAGGTCTGCAGGGCTCCAGGTTTCTCCATAAATGGCTGAAGAACGGCAATTAGAAAGCAAGGCGGGCATGTGTGCCATGCTCCTTGGTGCGGCCACTTTTAGTCCTTCCGGGAGCCCACAGATGAGGGAGATGCCGGCGGGGAGCTGGGCAGCCTGCTGGTGCCGCAGGAGCCCGCCTGCACCCAGGAAAGGGGCCCGGTGTTGACTGGAGAGTGTGTGTATGCACGTCTTGTTTTTTTTAAGTAAATTTTTTTATAGGTGTGCTTTTCTTTTTTCGGTGAAGAAGATTGGCCCTGAGCTAAATGTTGCTAATCTTCCTCTTTTTTCTTTTTTTTCTCTCCCCAAAGCCCCAGTACGTAGCTGTATATTCTAGTTGTAGGTCCTTCTAGTTCTTCTGTGTGAAATGCGGCCACAGCATGGCTTGATGAGTGGTGTGCAGGCCTGCCTCCAGGATCCGAACTGGCGAGTCCTGGGCTGCCGAATGGGAGTGTGTAAACTTAACCACCCGACCACGGGGCCGATCCCCTATGCACATCTTTTAAGAAGGGCTTGCTGTGTGTGCTGGCGTTTCATGTACAGTCTTGCTAGCCCGTAATTCAGCCCCTAATTCGGGTTGAGAGGCGAGAGGGGCTGTGGGAGAGCAGGGCCGCGGCGCACTGGGACACCGGCTCTCCGACGGACAGCCCCGTCTTAGCAGTTGCCGAGCCCCGTGGCGTGAGGACTCCCACCACAGGCCCTGAATGCTGAGGCCACGGCATGCAGCACTGAAAGCAGTGTTCACCGTGGCCTCCGCAACACAGTCTGGGCCGCCAGCCGCAGCTGTGCTCACCGGGGAGGGGACTGCAGCGCCAGGACGTGGGGCCCCTCGTCTCACACGCAGAGAACTGGGGCCCGGAGAGGGGAAGCGGGCTGCCCACGGGCACATGTCAAGCACATGGTGGACTGTGACTGAATTCCAGACCTTCCACGCCAAGGCAGGGTCTCCCCGATCCTCGTTGCTCTCTGTGTCTCTGGCAGGGCCCTGTGAGAAGCTGGGGCTGGAAACGCCCCGGTGTAGACAGAAGGCCCTGCATGCTTCGGGCGGGGGCATGGGACCTGCCTCCGGGGTGGGGCGTGTGGCCCTGGAGCCGCCAGGCTACGCTCCCGCCTCGTCTCAGGCCAACGGCTCCCACAGTCCTCCCCTCCCCAGGTGCCCTGGCCTTCCAGAACATTCAGGCAGGCTGGGGCAGTGTGGGGAGGACTGGTTTCCACGCCCGGGAGCCACCCAGCTGGGCTTTCTCCGTCCACCATTTAGAAGGAGAAACCTGGGCTTTGCAAGGGCCCCGATGTGTACACTCCACTTAAAGGATAACTTCTGATTATTTTCTTAATGGAAGAGCAAATATTTGCATCTTCCAAACTGAAGGGCAGGTTGGAACGTGTGGGAATACTGACTTTGGGGCGCTGCCACCCGCGGCTTGACAGGGAGTGGGCAGGAAAACAGAAACTGTTGGCTGCGTTCGGCCTGGCTCAGCTCGCAGGAGCAGCAGAAACTCCGCTGTCGGGGCGCTGGCTGGGCGGCCGCATCTGTCCGCCTGTGGAGCGAGGGAGGGGTGGCCGGCAGGGGCTCAACCCCTCCTGACCCCTTTCCTGCCTGGGAATCTAGAGGTGGGCTGGGGAGGGAGGCATCCTTCACCTAGGGGAGCCTCGGTTCCTCCCCCAGCCAGGCTCCGTCCCCACTTGCACGTGACGGCTGCCAGCCCGGCCATGTGAAGAGCGTGACCATGGGCCGACTGCCCGCCGGCTGATGCAGCCTGTGCCAATTGTTTAGGTTATGAAAACAAAACAGAACTAAAGCCAATTTCAGCCCGGAGAGCATAAAGAGGGAAGCGGGAGGGAGGCCGCAGGAGGGGATGCTGTGCCCACAGAAAACAGCTCCTGCCTGAGGAGCTTCAGGCGCCGGCCACCCAGGTGGCCTGCCGTGTAGGAGGCTGGGCTGGCCCTACCCTGGGCGGCTACAGCCTGAGGACACGGGCTGCCCGGAAGCGTGCAGGAGATCCAGTTCGGGGGACCTCAACCCACACTCCGAGAAACGCCCGCCAGCCTGGGGGTCTCCCGCAAGACCCCACCTGTTGTCTGTCTGTTGCCATGGATGTTTTCCTTCCTACCCCCACTGCGATCCTACAGCACTATTCCGGATGTTTCCAACGGCAATCCTCATCAGTCCTGGGCCCGCACCTGACTATCCGCGGGAGAAAGGGCCCTGAGCTGCCTGGGATTGTGGTGGAAACATCCAGAACAGTGCAGCAGGATTGCAGGGGGCGGTTAGGAAGGAACACATCCAGGACAACAAGCAGACAGACAGACAGACAGACAAGTTTGGTTTTCAGAGTCAGAGGGTTCACCAGCCCTTGACCTTGTGGGTAACCCGGGTCCCTCGGCCCCGATTCACAGGCAGGGCTGGAGGCTGTGAACAGGCCACAGGCCCAGGGGTCCCGAGTGTCTGCACAGTGCAGTGGCAGTGTCTCCTTCTTGGGGCGAGGCCAGGACAGAGCCCCCAGATGAGAAGAGGGGAGGCCAGTCTCCCAGCAGCCCCAGCTGGCCCCATGTAGACGGCACTGGGTGCCGGACATTTCTGGTCTCAAGGCAGCACGATGGAGACCACATCTCCCAGCAGGCACTTCCCTGGGGAGAAGTCCTGACCCTCAGCGGGCTGCCCACACCAGAGGCATCCGCAGTGGCCTAGCGGTCAGGGGCTGCTGCATCCTCCCACCTTCAACCAGCGTGACCCCCAGGGTGAGTGTGGGCTGTGCAGACAGGACTTTTCTCTGCACGCCACGCAGCCCACGGCCTCCTGCACCCCATGCGTTGGCCTGTGGCGGGGCTGCGGTGGCGAGAACCAGACTCTTCAGTGGAACATGGGGCGGCTGACCTCGCCAGGAGCTGTGAGAGTGGCCGGCTCTCCCTGACCTCCGAGGAGCCCCATACGCCACGCTGGCCGCCCTTTAAAGAGCAGCTGATCATTGCAAATGCCAGGCCCGCCGCCACCCGCCCTCCTGCTGGGACCACAGGGCTGCCGGCCGAGGAGCGGGGCAGCTGCTCCGAGGGCTGGAAGCTTGTGATTTGCGTCAGTGCCGGGCTGGCCAGGAGGGGCCTTCACGCCAAGCGCTTGGCAGCCACATGGAGTCACAGTGACATCACAGCTCTCCAGCACCGGGCCTGCCAGCCCAGGGGCGTCCCGGGGGAGAGAAAGGCTGCACGTTCCCCGAAGGCTGCCTGCTGAGGCCACGTCCCTGTCTCCCTGCGAGCCGGGCGGCTCAGGCAATGGGGTTTCTAAAAGCAGTTTCCATGATGCTAACATGCCGGGGTCAGGCCCCGAGAAGAGGGAGCGGAAGCTGCATTCTGGATTCTCTCCCCCCGGAGTGGGCTGGGAGACCGCTCCCAGGAGCAGTGGCTTGCCATCCTGTGGCCACGGGAGGACTCCAGCTAATTGAGGGACTTGGCAGGGGCTCTGGCCACTACGGCAAACATGCAATTTCACTGAGACGACAGGATCCTCAGAGGGCCCTAATGAAAAACACAGCTGCTAGAGACGCATGGAAAGAACGCTCGCTGAGGGAGGTCTTTTCCACGCTGCTCCGTCGACGCCCCACGCGAGCCGAGCATTTTCCTGGGTGGAGAGCGCTGGGTTTGAGTGGAGCGTGTGGCCCGCTGCCTCCCGGCCCCCCTTGTGTGACCCTCGCAGCCGTCCCCTCGTCACTGACCTGTCGGCTCTGGGGCAGGAGCCAGTGTGAGTCACCCCGGAGATTCGACATTTTATCCTTGCAAAGGCCTTCTGGGAAGCCGCCCCCAACTCCCCTCAACCCTGAAGCAAACGACCTGGACCAAGTTGGGGTGTCCTTGTGTTCACCCAGCCCAGCACCTTGCAGGGCGCCCCCCGACAACAGGATACCCCAACCCCTCCTGGCAGAGATCGCCTTCCACAGCCTGAACCCCACCTTGCTCTGCTCATGTTTGCACACACCCTCTGCTCCTCGGCCCGACATCCCATGTGTGCCTCAGTTTACCTACTCAGATGGCCTCCTCCTCCAAACAGCAAGCCCGGGGGGACCACACTGCCACCACTTGCTCCCCGGCATGCACTGCCCTGTGCCCTCAGCCCTGGGGTGGGAGGCTGTCCCCCCAGCCACGCTGTAGTGGCCTGGAGGTCAGGCTTCGGTGCTGCGGCCACTGCAGAGCCCCAGGCTGGCCGCCCGGCAAGAAGACACACAGGCCCGCAGCTTCGTGTGTCCTTCTCCTAACACTCGTCCGCTCTGTGGCCCCCTGCCTTGTCCTTGCTCCCAAGGAGAGGCGGTGCCTGTCTCCTCTCTTCTGAGATTCCAAGAATCCTGATGGGAGGGCTTCTCGGGGGTCCCACCCCAACCCCCCCACCCAGTGACCACCCAGGGCCAGCAGGGAAGAGGTTATGGGGCCTCACTCCCCAACAGGATGTCCAGACTCTTTCCTCAGGGGTCCATCGACCTCGGGGCCCCATCGTCTTTGCTTCCCTGGGGCCCAGCACCTGGCCCTGAACTCGGAGTGGGGGGATCCAGGACTTCTCTAGCTCCACCCACTGACACACTCAGGCCAAGGGGCCACCCCCTGGGGGGCCAGCATGGGCAGGGCATCCTGAGGAGGTGGTGTTTGTGCCCTGTGAGGACAGGGGCAAGAAGAAGGAGAAGCCTGTTCTGCATCTGCTGTGTTGCTGAGAAGCCCTGGAGAGACAGACAGCTGCCAGACAGGGTCTGAGTGGAGCTGACGAACGGCAGGGCTGCGTTCTGCTCCCCGCCACCCCCGCTGTGCCGTCACTCAGGCCTGGAGACCAAGTGTCTGAGGGCCTTCCCTCTCCACCCCCACACCCCAACCCCCACTCCATGGCTTGTTGGGCTCTGAGCTGAGTCACAGCTGTGTCCCTAATTCTGAGCATCCTGGGTGTATCCATCCCCCGGGCATAACAAATCACCGCAAACTGGGTGCGTTAAGCCGCAGACATTCATTCTCGCAGTTGTGGAGGCCAGAAGCCCGAAGTCGAGCTGTCGGCAGCCTTGGCTCCCTCTGAAGGCTCCAGGGGAGGATCCACCCCGGGTCTCCCCGTGTCCTGGTGGTGGCGGTGGCCCTCGGTGTTCCTGGGCTTACGGACGCCTCACCCCCATCTCTGCCTCGGTCTTCACACGGCCTTCTCCCTGTACATCTGGGGCTTCTCCTTTTCTGTCATTGGATTTAGGGCCCACCCTGATCCAGGATGACCTCGTCTCCATCCTTACTTTAAGTACATCTGCAAAGGACC